TCCCTCGTTGCTCACAGAAGCACTCAGTCATTGCAAGTTAACCCACTCAAAGGAGCAAAGAAAACAGCAGGTTAGAGGAGCTCTGATCTGTGGGTTCACTCAGCTGGGGCCAGCCAGTGACTGCTTATGCTTTGCAGATGCTTGTTCAGCAGGGTCTAGTCCAACACTGTTCCATGCTCTGGTACCCCACTCCCTTACATCAAAGCAGGGCCTTTCCCCACTATTCCCCACCTCACCTTATCAAAGCTGGAGCCTCATGTCACTGGCAAATAAAATAAAGGCATGCTGATTCTACAACTAAAAAAAAATTTTTTTTAATGTCTTTGTGGCTCAATCATGTCAATCAGGACAAAGTTAATTCTAATTCAGTTACTCAAAATAGTACAAGAAAAAGCAAATGGTATTCAATAAGTCAAATTCTCTTTTCCAAAATGATATTATCACAATATCCTTTGAGAAATTCCCCAAAAATGCACACTGTCATCTACTCTTCTTTCTTCATTTTCCAAAGAGTGATAACAAATGAATCTCCTATAAAATTATATTTGTTAGGCCAGGAAGAGTGGCACACACCTGTAATCCCAGCTACTCAGGAGACTGGGGTAGGAATCTCAAATTTTTTAAAAAAATTTAAAAATGACTGAGGACATAGCTTAGTGGTAGAACACTTGCCTACACAAATAGGGGCCTGGCTTCAATCCTCAGTACAACCAAAATAAAAATTTCTAGTTATAGTAGTCATTATACCTTTAATATGTTACCCTTACTATACACAATGATTATTTCCCTATTTAGTTCCTTTAAGTGAGTTGCTTTCTCACAGAGAAATCTCTTATATTTAAGTACTTGTATTTTCTATGGTTAGCTTGCGTGCTCTCCTCATTTATAAAGTTTTTGTACAGAATTTCCAAATTTCATTTTTGAACAAATGATCTATTGTTAAATTTTTCTATTTTTTCTGGGAAGAAATAAATGCTAAACAAATAATGAGTGTTATAAAGAAAATGAAGATCTACTGTTAAATTTTTGTCTGAGATTCCATAAAATGATCCAAGCCAAAACATGGAAACATGGATCTAAAACCTGAGGTACATCTATAACAGACCACCTGTTTTATCCAATAAAATCTTAGACACCCTAAGAAGGGAAAGCACTTCTCTCCTCCCCTCTCCCCTCCCCCTCTCATTCCCTTCCCCCACTCCTCCATCTCATCTCCATCTCTTTCTAACAGCAAGCCCTTAAGCAGAACCCAAGACTTTACTTGAATGGCTTGCTCAGCTTTCAGATTAGATGGTTAGACCACATGATCTTTAATGTTCCTGTAAGTTTTCAAATTCCATTCCATACCTTCCTTCAAATAGCAAAATACACATTTCATTGGGTTACTTTGAATTGAAGGACTCTCTCAACAACTGGAGAAAAGTGCCTGCTTTAGATGATGACTTGTGTGGATAAACCTTTCACACTTCCACCTTTTGTTTGAACAGACATTCTTCCTCATCACCACAGGAGTGGCAGGGTTCAGTCCCTATATATAATCACTGTGGAGAGAAACTAATTCTGTCATATAGCCTGGATTACCATACACAGATGATTTCTCCAACTCCAACCTTTTCCCTGAAGTCCAGACAAATATCCAGCCTACTTCACATATCAAACAATTGGATATGGAAGCTTAGTAAGTCCAGAAACAAATTTCTAATTTTATTGTATCCTCTCCAACAATCTTCCCCGGCTTACTGAGTACAAACTCCATTCTTTCAAATAATTTGGTTCTTCTTTCTCTCACACCCTTTAGCCACCATCAGTATCCCAAGTACTCCACTTTCAAAATAAGTACAGGATCTGACAACTTCTCACCACCTCCATCTCCGCCACTATACCAGTTTCTAACACTGTAACTAATTAGTACAAACCTAGTGACTTAAACTGACCCAAATTTATTACTTATAGTTCCATAATTTAGAAGTCTGAAATTGGTCTTATCACATTAAAATCAAGATGTTGGGGCTGGGGATATAACCCAATGATAGAGCACTCATAGTATGCATAAGTCCCTGGGTTCAATACTGGTTTTATTGAGTGAGATGGAAAGATGGGGATCAAACCCAAGGCATCTTGCCTGCTAGGCACTTGAGCATTCTCCTGCTGAACTACACTCCAGCCTAATCACATTTAAAGTAAAGTGTCTTAGTTGTACCAATAAATAAATAGAATCAAGAGGTTGGCAGGGCTGTGTTCTGAAGGCTCCATTTCCTTTCCTTTGGCTAGCTTCTAGAGGCTACATTCTGAGCCTCATGGTCCTCTCCTTCCATCTTTACAGCAGCAGAGGGTCAAACTACTTTCACATGGCATTAACCTAATCTCTCTGCTGTCTCTGTGTTCCACATCAAAGGACCCTACTGGTTACATTAGTTCCACCCAGAAATACAGAATAATCTCCCTATTTTAAAATCAGCTAATTAGTGACCTTAATTCTATCTGTAACCTTAATCCCCTTTGCCAAGTAACAAAACATATTCACAGGGATTAGGACATGGACTATGATTATCACAAAGAAACTAGAACATTCCACTCAAAATTTTAAGTGTGATTGGGCGGAGGTGAAGCTCAATGATAGAGTAATTAGGTGCCTATCGTACCCTGAGTTTGATTCCCAGCTCTGCAAAGACAATAAAGGAAAAAAAAGTTTAACGTGATCATGTGACTCACCAGCTAAAAACCTCTAATGGCTTCCCATCTCACTCAGTAAAGCCCAAGTTTAGAGGGACCCTGCTAACTCTCCTACTCAGTGTCCCCCCCACCCATGTCCCCTTTCTTCATTCAACTCTAGTCACAATTAACCTCTTTGCTGTTCTTCAACAGTCAGGCAAGTTCCCCTCCCCAGGATCTTTAAACTTCTTGTTCCCTCTGCCTGGCACTCTTCCCCCAGATATTTATAAGGCTTATTCCCAAATTTCCTCAGATATCTGTTCAAGTGTTACTTTATCAGCAAGGTCTTCTCTGAGCAGACCACTCTATCTAAAATAGTAGCCCCTTCCCCCAATAGCCTCTGTCTGCTATGGACTGAATGATTGTGTTCCCCGAATTAATATATTGAAGCCCTAACTCCCAATGTGATGGTGTTTGGAGGTAGGACTTTGGGGAGGTAATTGATTTTGAGGAAGTGTTAAGGATGGAGCCTCCATGATGGGATTAGTACCCTTATAATAAGAGGCCTGAAACTACTCACTCTCTCTCCCCGTCTCCTCTTCTCTCTGTTCTTTCCCTTCATCTCTATCTTGCCCCCCCACCCATGTGCATATTGAGCAAGAAGGTGGCCATTAGCAAAACAAGAACAACCAAATCAGCCAGCACTTTCACCTTAGACTTTCAGCTTCTAGAACTGTGAGAAATAAATGTTTAAATCACCAATCTACTTGCTATAGCAGCCCAAGCTAAGACACTATCCTTACTTTTCATTTTCTTCATAGAACTTATATTATTATTATTATTTAATTAGCATTTATCTCTTCCGGGGGGGGGGGAAGTATGTGTTTGTTCTTTCACTGTTTTCTTAATACCTGTATTAACTGAAATTCTCAGTAACAATAAATACCTGTTGGATGAATGAATGAAACTCTACTATTGCTAACTAATGCAGAGCTGGATCTTTGTACTGTTCATTCACAAAACGTTCTCCCCCCCAGAAACAGAAGATTCTTATGTAGACAATTATAGGGCTATAAAATGAAGGGCAAGAAGTACATTTTTTAAAATCCAGGCATAAGATATATAGAAAAAAAATTTTAAATTTTTGAACGTTTTGGTCATTATGAGAATACTAATAGAGGAGTGAGAGGGAAGGAATTCTGACTAGCCCATTGTTCTTCAAAATAGGTAAAGAGTTTTATTTTATTTTATTTTATTGTTTGTGTCCATTTTTTTTTCTGATCCTGAACTGTGGCAACTTTATCTTTGGCTGATGAAAATAATCTGAACCATCCACTGTAATTTTTAGTCTGTTTGTTGGACAAAATATGAGGAAATGTGGCCCATTTTACACCTTTTTCTTTTGTTTCAAACAGGAGGAGCGGGTTTTGCCACCCTAACCAACTCACCTGTTACCTGATAGGTCCACTCAGATGGCAGAACTAGCAATGAAGTGTGGAGTAACATGGTTGGAACCTTGCCCATGCTGAGCCCCAAATGTAAGAAATTGCCCTCATGTTGAGAATCATGGAGGGTGGGACAATTCACTACTTGAAAAAAGCCACTCATGTAATTTTAGGACAAAGGCAATAGAAGAAAAGTCAAAGTGAAGGCACAATCATATGTAAGTTTTTCTAGAAGATCAAGCCAGTTGTGTAAAACATGGTGTGCATTCCAGCTTTATCTCTGGGATTCTATAGGTAATTTATTTTTACCAAGATTTCCCCACTTGGTTTCCAGAAAAAAAAAAAAAACACTCTTTTTCATGTGGTATATGCCATTTTCTTAAAACACCTTTCTTATTAACAAAGTTTGCTTTGGCGGTGGTTATTCTGTTTGCACAAATAAAATTCTGTGTGTGTTTATCATAAATCTTACAAAATTATATGAATGATCATTACAAACAAATGTGCTTAGCACCTGTTTTATTGCTAACAATTGCCTCTGAGAATCTGTCTTTTCCTAAGGCATCTGGTTAGGCTACCTCTCCTGATTTTTTTTTTATTCTAGCAACTGAAATGAAAGTTTTCAATAGAAACAGAATTACATATTCTTCCAGGATATGTTGTGTGTATTGAAACTTTCACACAGAGACTAGGCTTCTGGGACTAGAATCCTTAAATATTAGTGACTGGAAGATTCCAGTAATGCTTCTTGTAGTTATTTAACTTACAGCCTCCTTTTCCTTCTTAGGAAACAGGGCATTATATAAGTTTAAAAATAGTGAATTGGTTTCTCTTTCTTCACCCCCACCCGCAATGATACTGGGGAATGAATCCAAGAATACTCTACCACCGAGCCTCCCCGCCGCCCAACTTAAGAAAGAATATTTCTTAATTAACTAATCGGCAATCCTCCTGCCTCAGCCTCCCAAATAACTGAGATCACAAGTATGTGCCACCGCACCCGGACAACCAATTGGTTTCTAAATCCCTTCTTGCTCTACGTAGTTCAAAGATGCTAGAAATAAATATTTTTAAAATAGACTGTGATGTGTGTGTACACACACATGCGTATATGTATAGATACACGCAGTGAAAAGGAGAAAGGCTATACAATGCTTCACAGCTGTGCATTAAAACTTCACAGTGCATTAAAATCAAGACATTTTTGTTAGAAGTTTCAGGGTGGAATTCGCCTGCAGAGTGAGTTTTGAAAAGCCAGATTTGGGAAATGGTTCCAGTTACTCCTACTCAACCTGCAGGCGCTTCACCTGTGTTCCAGGGCAGTGTTTGATGGGACCACATCCCAGCTCAACTAGGTACCCAGCGGAATTTGTAGCCCCCACTGGCTGTTCGGATGGTGAAGGCATTGCCCTGGGGGAAGGCGAGCGTGCGGATAGTGCTGTGGCTGCGGATGGGAGTGCTGAAAGAGCCGCCCTCCTCCAGCTCGCTGTGGTTCAGGTTCAATGCGCTGCGACAGCCGTCCGTGCGCAGTCCTCGGAAGGCTCCGTGCAGATTTCCCGGCCAGCAGTCAGTGTTCCTGGGCTCGGTTTGCAGGCGGGGCCTCTTGGCATCGCGACTCTGTAGGGCTTCATCGCAACGCTGAGAAATCTCTCTCAGTATGGCGTCTACTTCCGCGCAATCCTGACCCGCAGCGCTGAACATCTCCTCCAAGCTCCTTTTTGCAGTCGTTTTGAACAGGAAGGGCTCGGCGGTGGCCCCGCAATCTCGGGACTGCGTGATCATCAGCTTCTATGAAAGATGGGGAAGAGCGCCACCCTGGGGCCAGCGGGAATCGCCCCAAACTGGGCGCGCAAAAGGACACCCGGGTGTACTACGCGCTGCACTGTCCCTACTCTCCTGAACCCCGCTGGGTTCCCACACAGGGAGCAGAGTGGGTGTGCAATGAAACAGCTTCCAATGCCCCGCAATGTCCCACTCGCTTGCTCCCTACTTACATCCAGCACCGAAGCCAGGTGCCTGGTCCGGCTGGCGAGTTCTTTCAGCTGCACGTTCCGTTCCTTAAGCGAGGCGATCTCCTCCTGTTTCTGAGTTAGCGTCACGTGCAGCTACAGGAGGAGATCCAAACGTTCAGGGACTTGGCCACCGTGCTTGGTCTCATCTGCGTGAATTAAACCCAGATCCTGACGTCTCACCAGGAATTGAGCACCCAAGGGCATTTACACTTCTGAGAATCATCAATTTATTTGACTTTTTTCCCCCCACGGTACTTGGATTAAAATGTATCTTCAGTGTGGCCGTGGTAGTGACTAGTACCTGGTTGGGCAACAGGCAGACCTAGCTTCTGCCCCTAAACTTCAAACATCCTGTTTTAATTATTAGTAAAATTAGGTTGGTAAGTATGTTTTAGCTCAGTACTTAATAAATGAGAAGAATAATTTAATAAGCACGGTGCCGGGCACAAAAGAAAGCCTTCAATGAATAAAATATTTGGTAAAGTGGAATTAATCCCACTTAGTGAAGTTGGAAAGTGGGGTGGGACCACTGGAGCAATAGCAGCTATGTGAACCACTAGCCTGTCCAGACATGTACAGGGGAGCGTCCCAGTCCTTTCAACCCCACTTCTGCCTTACTCCAGTCCCGGCCCTAGGATTCCTGGTCACTAGTTCAGTGTCCCTACTTGGTTATTTTCAACAAGAGCATTCCCCAGTGCTCTCTGGTTCTGGTCGGCCACCTCCTTCCAGTACTGTTCTGGCGGCGGCACCTCTGGAGGGCGTAGTGGTGCTGACTGGAGGGCCCGGGGCTCCAACCGCTGGGAGAGGTAGGACCCGAGAGGCGATACATCGCAAGGAGAGAAGGGGAAGTCACTGACGGCCAGGGTAGGCGACATCAAAGTAGATGAGTCTGGGAAAAGGCGAAAGCTGGATATGTTGCTTCTGATTCATCCCCAGCTAGCTACAGGGTCAAAATGCCACTCCAGATGTATGCTTTATATGGAGATTTTTTTTATTATTATTAAGGAAAGCACCCCTCATTCCTGATATTTTGGACATATACAGCAGGCGCTCCATATAAACCTGTTGAGATAACCCGAGGGTAAGCAGGCAACCCCGTGAGGACTTGGAAGTTACACAAGGCCTTCCCTCCTCTGCACACTATTGTCACTCAAGCTCTCCCAGGCCACATCAGAGCGCAAGGACCCCTCTTCCAGAACCCACCCCGACAAACCAGCTATAAATTCAGCTATCCAATTTCTCCATTGGAGAGAGGGAATATCCTAAATATGGAAGTCCAAGACCCTTTTGTGAGGTGATGGCCAATCATTTACTGGCGGCTGAGTTCACCACCTTCAGGACCACAAAATCTTAACTAGTCTCATTTGGAGACAGGAGACATCCCGGCTGTTATTTAATGACTAAGAGACTGCACTTGCCTGCGATGAGATCATCCACTGTTTCTCTGAAATTCTGAAGACTGAAGTCCACTTCCGTTTCCAAGGAGTGGCTCTAAAATAAACCGGGGGTGTAAAACGATCATCGTTGAATCTGGAGAGTCCAGAACAATCCCCAGGTTGCGCCACGTGGGAGGTGGGGGACGATCTGCACGCACTCGCTTTCACAGCGGAGAGTCTCATACCTGTAAACCAAGCCCCACCCGAGACAAGGAACCCAGCAGCCTTGCACTGCGCTGGTGGAGAACCAGAGGCGTAGAGTGCCGGACCGGTCAGCTAGACTTGGAGCCACGAATCTTCACAAGGCGCCAAAACTATTCCCTGAAGTCTTTCTCCGCAGACTGTGCGGGATGTCTGCGGCGCCGGGCTTTGGACAGCTGGACCGTGCTGCAGGCAACCAGCTGCCTCTGTGCGCTGTTCTTTGTGCACTTGTCAACCCTAACTCCAACTTACCCCCAACCAACCAAGAGGCCACGGCTCTAAGAGTAGAGAGCATGGCATGAACCCAGGTCTTTCCTTGGAGACCCGACAGCTTGCAGAGTCCTTCAATGGGGTAACTGGAAACTGTGTTTCTCAGAAAGCTCAGTCACAGCTAACCAAAAAGGAGGGTGAAAGATGATCTATGATTGGAGGATCCAGGGATGCTATAAAAAATGCTTCTGTTCAGCAACATGTGTTGCCTCTATTGATCTTTTCAGTTTATTTCAGTTTATTACAAAGTTGGAGTTGACTCCCCACTCCCCGCTTGCAGGATGCACCTCCAACTTCCTGAACTGTATGAATGCTTTTCTGGCCTCCAGCGAGGTGTCTAGGTAAGTGAAGGGGAAGAAAACTTAAAGGCTGGATGCCCAGGAACCTTCTTATTCCCTTAACTTGTGGATAATTCAAGTTGACAAATATTTACTTTCTATACAGTCTTCCAGTTAATCCTCACACCAATGTGGGAGGCAGGTAGGGCTCAGGAAGTGCTTCCCCTTTCACTGAAGGAGAATATGAAGCTGGAGAAGTGGAGTTACCCAAAGTCCTCCCACTCTTGCAATGCTAGTGCCTATTTCAGTCATCTTTCCTATATAACTCATTACCTGTCTTTGGGGGGGGGGGGTTGAGGGAAGGCCCAGCTTACACTAAAGATAACAGTAGGAAGGGGAAGAGAGTCTCTAGAGCCATGATGGGAGGGGGACACATTCAGTACGCCCATCAGAAATATCTTCTCTGATTCGGCTACTGATTCATGTGTGTTAATCATACTGCTCTCCCCAAAGCACTTCTCTACTAGTCATATATTTGGGAGAAGAGGAATTTACTCTGACCCAAACTTCAAAGTATCAGTTTCTCTCAGAGAAGAAAAAGTCAAATCAAAGTCTGGAGGCCTCAGTACCAAGTTGAGCACTGAGGCCATAAGAGGAAAGGATCTGAGAAAGGAAGGACTGAGGGACCCAGACAAACCCTGATGCAGGAACTCTGCCTTGGTGGAAGTAATGAAATATGACAGTCTTCACGGACTGAAAGGTCTCTCTCTCTCTCTCTCTGCAGGTATTTGAGAAAAGCCCTTACAATGAATAGACTGGAGGCCAACTCAGGAAACGTGGCTCAGGAAGTGCTTTCTCCTACAATATCCCACGTTTTGGTCAATTCTAGACTAAAACAATTCTAAAGCACTCCCACTCTTTTTCTGCCTTCCCCTGTGGGACAGCAGCTAGCAAATGTAACCTAAGGGTGCACTGGTCAGGTGTTTGTTAGGGAGCTCTTTCCCTATACCAGCTCTTTCCCACAGAAATCCTGGACTTTCTAGTCCATGTGGTGTGATCCCTGGCCTTGAAGATTTGAATCCCACTTTCCCAATGAAATAACTCCGACATTTCTACAACTACAACAAGGGGAAAAAAAATGCTGACACACAACATATTGTCAAATTTAAATTCAGTAGACTTAAGTGAGAATTCATCAAGAGGCCACTTGATTTTGTTGCTTGCAAAATAAACATGTTGGAGTAAGGGAGTGACCTAGGCCTCTGGGCCAAATAAAAGATGTCTTTGCTTATTTGCACATCCAGATCTTTAAAAAAAAAAAAACAAAATTAAATGGCCTCTGCAGTTGCAGGGAACCACACACTCCCACCTCCTGTCTTAACAATCTCTGCTCTTAGGGCCACCTACCCTGAGTCCTCCTGAGCTCTTTCCCAAAGTTCTATAAAGCTCTTAGAGGAGGACTGAGAAACTTTATTTCACCACCACTCCCAGTTCTGAGAGGTGTGTTGTCTTCTGGAGAGTTCTATACTGAGACAACGACCTTGTGACCCCAACACCTGCTGACAGAAAGCAGGAGTTGTCACTCTTCTGTGGGTAGCATCTGGATAAAATCACCTGTCCATCTATGAGCCAATCTTCTGGCCTTCTAGACCAGTGCTGAAAGGCTCCAATGTCTGGGAGTGTCAGCCCCTGCCTCTTTGCCACATGGTGGCAAGTGATTAGAACTTTTTTGGGACGGGGCAGAGGATAAAAGGACTTTTTAAAAAGTGCCTAACTGCTGAAGGACCATCTCTACACACAGGAATCTGTTCTGTCAGATTTCTTCCGCAGTCCTTTGTCCTTCTTCTCGCTTCCCCTCAAATATAAACTCTTCCTCTTCTCCAGTGTTGATCGAGAAGTTATCCATCGATTTCCACTCTCCTTCAATACCCACAGAATGAAAATGGTTAGTGAATGGCTGGGAAGAGGGTGTTGGGAGAAAAACAGTACAAGTATCCTGTACGCAGGCGCCCAGATTCACCCATTTGGTCCCTCAGTGTTCCATCTCCTCCCTGCCTTGTCACAGCTCCAGGAAATAAATGGGGAGAGGAAGGGCAGGAGTGAATCCCACTGTAAAACTTGGCTAAAACAGCTCTGGAAACAGCAGCCTTCACAACATACTATGAGGGAAGAGGACACTCGGATCTGGGAGGCTCAGGTTTCCGCATGCCTCTTCCCTTCACCAGTTAAACGTGACTGTGGTGGGTGCCTGCGACAAACCTTTGCGGAAATAAACCCCCACTCAGGAATGAGGTTTGTATTTTCAGAGGCAGCAACGCTCCTCAAGGGGAGGTACCTGAGAGGCAGCCGGGTCACCACTAGGCGGCGCGTCGGACCCGAGTAGAGAGGAGCAGTCCGCGAGGTCTTGCAAGTCTATGGTGGTAAGGGCTGCGCAGGGAGACCGAGAGACACACACCAGACCGACGTTTAGCCTCTTGACCAGATTCGCCGCTGGGACCCCCACCAGGACGTCGGAGACACGGGGAAGTTTCCCCAAGGGGAAAATGCAGGGTCGCGCACGTGCTTCGGGGCTCACCTGGCAGTGCAGCGGGCTCCACGTCCGGGGGGTCCTCGTATACAGACACCGGGCTGCCGCCGCCGCATCCCGAAAAGAACTTCCGCGGAGGGGCGAACTAACCGAGCACAGAATAGTGAATACCGGTCAGCCCTCGGGACAGGGAGTTCGCAGACCCCTCCGGGCCCCCGCCAACAGCCCCACCTTCCTCTCCGGCTTCACGGGTTTGCGGAGAGGAGGGCCTGGCAGCTCCAGCATCCTGTTAGGGCAGATGCTATCGAAGACCCGGCGTCCCGCCGCGCTGCTCCCGCACACTTGCATCCTGTGTGTATCGCTGGAATGGCGACCCGCACCCCTACGGTCCCTGCGCTACCAGCGCCTGTTGGCTCAGAAGTTAGTCCGAGGTCGGGGAAGTCGCGTGGCCCGGGAGGAGAAGAGGGAGGGCGGAGAGGAAAGGGAGGATGGTTGCACGGGAGGGGTGGCTCGCGCCTGAGCGCCAGAGGTGGCGCCTTTAGTCTCTGGCAATCTGCGCGCGGGCGGAGGCGTTAACCCAACCTGGCAACCGGGCTTCCCCCGGGAGAAGCGAGCGCGGGGCCTAGGCCCACGAGCGCCCTTTCCGCCAGCGTTGGCGCCACCGCCTCCTGGCCGCGCCAGACGCAGAGAGCGAAAGAACTGAACTAGAAGCGACCGATCCCCAGCATTGGTTACTGCCTTCCAACCTACGGACAACGGGGATGGAAGAGTTAAAAGACTCATATTTCCTTTTCTTTGCACCCCAGTCACAAAGCACGAATAAACGTGAACTGACAATTGCCAAAGCCTGACTTCAGCATTTTGTTCAGTCTGACAGGATTTAGTGGGGATGTAGCATTCTGGAAGGGATTCCTTATAATAATCCCAGTTTACAGAAACCCCTTACCCCAAATCTAAGCAGCATTCAGGGTCTTGACTCAATTGACTTTTATGTAGACTCCTGAACTAATGCAAGAGCCCCCCGTAACCCTAGCCATGCACCTTCCTAGGTAGTGGCACCCGAGTACAATCTTTAAAATAAATAAAGGATCGATCAAGAAAAGTGACATCCATAAATCCTCCTCCAGCTTCTGAAAACTTACTAGTGGACAATCCCAAACTCCTGAAACCCATCCGGCCTCCCCTGATGGCTTCAGCTGCCCATCCCAGCGTTTAGCCTGCTGTCTCTACAACTAGGCTCTCCTGCTGTGCCACATTCTTAGCTCTACATCCCAAGCAGGAGTTTATCTCCCAGGAAAGGGGTATCTCTCAGACAGAAACATCCTTAGGTGAGGGGGTCCTCTCTCAGGGGCACTCAGAACCATCCAATTAAAACAATCATTTGAAATTGCACCTTATTTTCAAATTATATCTGGTAATGGAAGTGAAAGATCCTCCTTAAAAAATGTCATGATCCTCTTTTATTTGCACTCATTGTCTGGATTAAAAAATAAAATACCGTAGGAGTGGTGGAGGAAAACCAATGACAGACCTGGAGACCCTCTGACCACATTTATAGATTCAGGAACTGAGTAGAGGTGAAGCCAAATCAGCCAGCTAGAGCTGGTTTGGTATTGCAGGTAGGGAGGAGCTTGGACTTCAGGATCAAAGTGCATAAAGAACTGGACTAGAGTCCACCAGATCTGTGAGCCCAGATCTTTAGGAAAATAGGTAGCTCTGCCCTCAATAGAGCTGAAGTGAAGATGAATGGGATTATTTATGTAAAATGACTGGTGTTCCATGTGGATGAATTTCGTGCCTTTTCAGTCACACTTCCAGCTTCCTACATCTTGTTTCTGGCTCTCTATCCACTGAGTCCTCCCATTCCTGAGTCTATCTCCACCCCTTTCTTTACCCACCTTCTGGTCTGTAAAATGAGTAAGGGTGCTCTTGAGTTTTGGGGTGATCTTTACACATGGAGATGATTATAGATTTTCCAGGACAGGCCCACTTTTCAAATCTTCATCAATGAGTTCCAAGTTGGGATAGAAAATATAAACATTGTATCATAAGAGTATCTGTGGCAATGGGAACTGGAAATATAGGACTCCTAGTCTGGATGATTGTAGAACTAATCACCAAGTTCCTGGAGAACTTAGCACCAGGAGAGACATGGATGGAATTTTAGATGATATGGCTGAATGAGAGAGTCATTGCTGGTAAAGACAACTTCCAAAGTCACCTCCTTGCAGCCAGGCTGAAGGCTTCAGATACTTTAGACTTGGGCTAGGCATTTTGGTCTTTCTCCTCCTCTTTTTTCACCATCACAAAACAGCTTTTCCACAGATGGGGGAATCACCATTTCCTTCTCCTGATACCAAGGAGGAAATGTTCCTGGATACATGTCAACTTATCAGGACAACAGAGGTCTAAAGGACCCTAGGCTCTAGAGTACTCTCTATGTGGAGAGAAATACAAAGAAGCTTTAGTTTGCTTTGAGTTTGTTTGCTTTTTATTTGCCATACATTTTGTTTTATTTTAAATGCAGTATACATGACTGGGGATTCCCCTCCAAAACTTTTTATAATAAGTTTTTTCAACCATACAGAAATTTTTAAAAGGCAAAAACAACAATTCAATGAACCATATATTCACATCCCCCATTAACATTTCCCTCTATTTCTTTGTCCCAAGGTTGTTTTTTTTTGTTGTTGTTGTTTGTTTGTTTGTTTTTGTTTTTTTTGCCCCTGCAGGATCCTTCTCCTAATTGTCTAGGTTACTCTTTGCTTTTTGAAGACACTATTTGCCACCTGTGCTTATACAGAGCTTCTCATTACAGTCGTACTTCAACACTTTCAAACAGATGCTACTGTTATACCCATTTTTATAGATGGAATGTGGGCATATACCTGCATAAGGTCAACCATCAAATTGACTCCAGAGCCTTACTTGTTGACTCACTACTTGATACTGCCTCACATTTAAACTTAATCTCACTTAAACTCTACAACAACCCTGGTTTCAATTATAGAGTTCAAAGAGGTTAAGAAGCTGAGATTCAGGGCCTACAGGAGATTTTTGACAGGGAGAATGATGATGTGACAACTGTAGCACCACAGAAACCAAGCAAGCTTCTATCTCAATTCCCAGCCTAGTTTTCCTATCTATAACATGAATCCTTATGACTGGAAGTAAGGACCGTTCTGACTCCATAGTTTTGCTTTTGTGGCGCTGGGGATTGAATCCAAGGCCTTGTGCATGTGAGGCAAGCACTTTACCAACTGAGCTATACCCCCCAGCCCTGTGCTGACTCTATAGATAGATTCTTTATAGTCCCTAATGAATGGTGAACACTGAGTAAATAACTGTGTGGCACCTATTTTGGGAACAGATTTTGTTGAGAATGGTTAGAAACCTATAAACTGGAGAAGCTTAGCAGTGTGGCTAAGGGTAGTACTCTGGACTCAGATCACCAGCCTTCAAGTCCTTTCTGTGTGCCAGTGTAATCCTCTGAAAACTGGGATAGTAAACTGCTTGAAACAACCATTAGATGATCAAAATAACTAATGATAAACAGTGCCTGGTAAATCACAAGCACTCGATATAGCCTTCACTACTATAATCCAATCATTACCTTGAGCTCACATGTAGCAGCATTAATGAGGTGGCTACAAGGAAATGGGCTCAATAGCCCCAACAGCCTGCAAAGCCTTCCTTTTCAACATCTGTTGGTAGATGTAGGATTCTATACTGAAATATTTCTTGCTTTTTGCCCTCTGCTAGTGTGCCTACATGGTTTCCCACCTCTGCCATCACATTCACTAGCAAGAGCAGCCTATGGCCCCTCTGCACATCATAGACTTTTGTGGGTTCTACTCTGTCTCACACCCCAGCACACCCTTTGTAACCCTGGGGTTGCACAGTCCTCATGCTCCTAACAGAAGAGTCACAGAATTCAAGCAGACAAGTGACCCTGATTGGTCTTATCATTGGAACAGTGGCATCCCAAACCTTGCCAGATGGGTTTCACAGAGATGCTAACTACAAAGTGAATCAGTGGGAGGAGAGCATCCCTGGAACAGTTTCAGCTGCCCCATTCTGGGGCTGACTTCACCTTCCTTCCCCAGGACAGACAGGGCAATTGCAGCATTCAGATTAAAAAAAAAAAAAAAAAAAAAGCCTCTTTACTGGGGAAAGGGGGAAAGACAGCTCCCTCATTTGTTTAGTGCACAATAAATTACTAGATTCTGCTATGCTGAGGTGCAAGATGTACAACCCACAGGATGGCAAGCAGGAGTCCTGAATATTCATTCTCCCGCCCCCAATACTGCACTCTTCAGAAGCAATGCAAGACATTGGCCCAACCTCCGGGGCCAGGGAATAGAAGCCCAAGGGTCTGCTTTATTTCAAGCTTGGGAACAGGTTGCACTTCTTGCAAATCTGGAGGGGCAGCATGTGAGTCAGAGAGGTACTGTTTATGGCCACCAGCAGCTGCAGCTTTCCCAGACAGTCCTGCAGCGCCGCCTCTGAGTGTTCGCCCAGGCGCAAGTCCACCGGGTGTGGCAGCCGCAGCATGCGATCTGCCAGCGCCAGGCAGCAGATGGCCAGCAGGGAGGGAGCATAGCCAGTGAAGGCATAATCAGCCAGGCTTAGCTCAGCCACCCCCCGCGCCAGGGCTTGTGCTTCCAGGGCTTCCGAGACTTCAGCCTGTCCGGCCTCCACGCGGGTGTGAGTGAAATGCTCCAGAAAGAAGCTGATGGTGGGGGCACCCAGGCTGAAGTGCAGCTTGTGCAGCACGATGCATTCGAGATTGCAGAGTTGCTGCCGGGAGAAGGCTCCGCAGCACAGGGCCAGAAGCTGTTTCACGCGCGGTGGGTGCACCTCCACCTGCAACACAGTGTGCATTCATCCCCTGCCTCTCTGCTTCCAGGGCTGAGGCTTTACCAGTCTGAAACCCAGGAGAAAATTGTGTCTCCCCATCAACCCTTCCAGAGAGATAGCCTGGCTTAACCTTTCCACCACTACACCTAGTATGTACTTCCAAAATAGCTTCTCTACTGTTTGACTAAAAACCAGGTTTGGGAATTTTTCAGCCTGCTCCCCGACCCGACTAGAACAGAGGTGCCACAAAACTTTTGGAGATTAACTACGACTTACTTCTTGGGGAGATGAGTAAAAGGATTCTTGGTTTGCAGGAGGATTATGAAGTTAAGGCTTGGAATCTATAGATTCGCAAGCCTCTGGTAGAAGAAATCAACACACTGAACCTTGCGCTGGAGAATCGGGTGGCCAGAGAATGGAAGGGAGTTTGGCTGCACCCGAAGCCCCATGCCTCGTCAAGATACCTGTTTGCAAGCGATAAGCAGAGAGGTGACCCCGAGCAGCTGGAAGCAGTCTGCAGCCACTGGTGTGGTGGTGAGGAAGCGGTCCAGAGTGTTCACTGTCAGGCACAGTGACTCGAAGGAGAGGCCGAATTGGCGGTGCACTGGGATCAGCCAGCTGAGCAGTTTACAACGGGATTCCGCAGTCACCTGCCGAGAGGGAGGAGGAAGGCGAGGAGGCTGAGCCTAGAGCTAAACTGGGGGGAAGTGGGGGCGGGGAACTCCAGAAAGGAAGGGTCAGGTCGGCCCAGGGAGCTTTCCCCAAAGAAAGCGAGAAGAGGAAAAAGCTAAGTGCCCTAGAAACTGAGAAACGGGAGGGCAGTGCCGCTGCGGAAAGAGGGCTGGCCTGCTGAAAACCGAAAAGTTTGGATTCGTGCCCAGCGCTGTACCAGCTCGGCATACTCATTGCCTCGAGTAATCCTCTCAGCAATTCGATGGAAGGTAGGGGTGGATGAGTAGTCCATTTTGCAGACGAAGAAACGAATTTAGGATTGTTAAGTAAATTGCCCGAGGTCTGTAGGAGTTCGGGCTCAACCCAGAAACTAACTCCTTTGCACTCTTCACTGCCCCACTAGGTTGAAGACTTGCGGCAGGTCACTTAAGCCATCTACTTTTCTCCCACTGTAAATTGATGACCGTGACCTGGCCCTGGAAGGCCTCTCTTGCTCTGCCTGGGGGCAGGGACTGAGACGCGCTGCTCACCGCGCCGCGAAAGGTAGAAGCAGAAAAGGAGAGAGCCTGGGAGAGCAAGAGCAGCGGCGGGGGACTGGCTCTGCCAGCGCCTCACTTGTGGCTGCATCGCCAGAGACTCCCGCGGATGGAAGCGGCTCTCCTGAGCCTTACGGAAAGCGTAGCAGCTCTGGCCGTAGTCCCGGAAGGTTTGTAGATCTAGCGGCTCCAGCGGCCGGGCAGGACCCTGCAGGGGGCTACAGTCTCGCGCCACCGACTCGGCGGGGCTGTCTGCAAAGTCCGAACCGGAGCTGGGAGACTCGAAAAGGTCGCAAACTCCGGAGTCTCCTCGGGGCGTGCAGGGGTTCCGGGGTTGAAGCGGCTCTTTCCTCCGGAGGCGCGGGCGCCTGCTCTTCTTCACGGGGGCTCGAAAATTCTGGTTGTTGTCTAGCCTCCCTGCTCCGGCAGAGGGGCTGGTGGGGCAGGGGGTCACCATGACGTAGCCAGGTGGCCGCTCTACTACCCCAACGCCCGGGCTGCGGCGGGCTGCAAACGTACGCAGGACAGATACGCGTGGGGAGGCGGAGTCCCGTGGCTGCTGCGGTCCTAAGTAGTCCACCTGCCCCTTCCCTGGACCACACCCCCTGGCTCCTCACTGGCTAAGCCCAGAGCGGCACAGGAGCCGCGGCTGAAGAGCCACTCCCCTCGGAGTTCTAGCTGCGCGTCGCCTCCGCGTTCAACTGAGCTGAGCAGGTGCTACCCACGCCGCGCACCCGCCTTCCGCCGCCCGCTCGCGCGCGTCCCGAGTTACCTGGGCAACCGGAGCTCGGGTAGTGGCGGTAGCTGGGCGCGCGGAGCCGATCGGAGTAGGAGAGGCTGCCCAGCCAGGTGAGCCACGGGCCCAGCTGAGGAGTTCCGGCTGCACGGAGAGAAAAAAAGATTCTCCAGGGATTATCTGCCTGTCCAAAGCAGACGGTCTAGATACTTGCCAGCCCCTTCACGCTGGCTTAAACTCTGGTCGGTGATTTTGTAAATCAAGGTCTGTTTCTGAGCTCCAAATGAAGGTGGGGCTAGAATTTTGTCAGCAGCTTTTTGTTTGTTTGTTTGTTTTTTTCCAGAGACCCATAACAGTAATGTGAATTCATATGCATATGTGTTTTGTTTCAGTCACTGCCCTTCCTTCTGCGGGTCTGGGGAGCGAAGCCTTGGCAGTGCTGCTCTGTGATGCTGTGTATGTAGAAGCTAGCCCCACAGACAGTCATTCATGATCCAACAAAACATAAAACTGTCCAAAGATACATCAAAAAGCATGGCTGCAGCCGGGCGTGGTGGTTCACACCTGTAATCCCAGCAGTTTGGCGGGGCTGAGACAGGAGGATCGCAGGTGCGAAGCCATTTAGCAAGGCTCTGAGCAATTTAATAAGACCCTGTCTCAAAATAAAGAATAAAAAGGTCTGGGAGCCAGGTGTGGCACAAGCCTGTAATCCCAGCGGCTGGGGAGGCTAGGGCTGGAGGATCATGAGTTCAAAGCCAGCCTCAGCAAAAGCGAGGCGCTAAGCAACTCAGTAGACCCTGTTTCTAAATGAAATACAAAATAGGGCTGGGGACGTGGCTCAGTGATCTAGTGCTTGTGAATTCAATCCCCAGTACCAAAAAAAGGGGAGGGGGGCTGGGGGTGTGGTTGGGGGGTAAGCGCCCTTGGGTTTATTCCCTGGTTTTAAAGAAGAAGAAAAAAGTCTGCAGCTTTCTAAATAGTACTTTCTCCCGCACTTTTCGCCCCAAGCCAAATAAGTCTAGAAGCTGCAGCTATTGAAGAACATAACGTTGTAGGGGGGTGGCAGTTCTAGTTTTATCAAAGCGCTCACAACGGGCTGTTCTGTTTTAGGTCATTAGCTTCTAACTTTCTGCCTTGAGAAGCCCAGTCCTTCCTTGGTTATTCCCTGCTCCTTCGTGAAGAGAGCTCAGGGAAATACAGATGGAATGTTGGGGAGGCGCCCAAACAGAAGGGAAGGGGCTGAACTGGACGAAGCACTGAAGGGCGCTTCACAGGTTTAGTCCACAGACTCCAGTCCTGGTAGAAGCTGGAGTCCTTCTTTGGCCTGAGTGAATCTTCCTGAGGGTCTAATCCTTTAGGAGAATGGGCCCTTAGGTAACATCTAACCCATCTTATGAGCATCCTAGAGCATAAAGTCCAGATACACTAAGCCTGGACTTTCCAGAAGTGCTCCAGGAAGCATAGTTACTAGATGCCACACTACCAGCAGGTTCAGCCATCCCAACCTCGTTCCAGAAGAAAACTGATACATGTGTGTAATAAAATGCAAATTTCTGTCACTAGAAATTTTAGTGAGAGGGTGGGTGGAGTCTCCTAGAGATGCAAGTGAAAGAAAATGAAGAAATTTCAAGTTCTGGCCTCTGTTAATCCTATTTCCCTGTAACTCTAAGACAGCTCTTTATTCTCCCAATTCAAATAAATAGTGTCATCTGTACCTTGGGAAATTAGCTAAGACTCATCTAGGAGAAGTTTTCAAAATGCAAGGTGCCTGGCCTGTCTCCTCTCTATTGTTGGGGAACATTATGAGAGGGGCTAGTGAATTTGTAGAGAGGAGTCAGATATCAGAGTTCTTCTTGGAAAAGCTTTCTGGGTTAAGAGAACAAATTCAGGAGTTCTGATTTTTCCTTTCAGCCCAGACTATCAATGTGGTACAGTGAAAAGAGCATGGGTCAACTCCCAGGTTCGAAACTATTGCTCCATATATTGGCCATATTGGACAAGACATTACTGCGGCAGTCCGGCTGCAGCAAAATAACCGGGGGTGACGAGGAACTTGTGTAGATTGATACAGCAGGAGTGGGAGCCATTTATTGTAGGACAGGAGGGGTATATATACATTCCACACAGCTTATCTTAATTAACATAAACTAGATACAGCAGTCAACCAATAAGGAATCTCCACACTTAATGGCTTGCTGGCATTAGTTCACAAACCACTCCCTCTGCAAAATGCCAGGCGCCAGCTTGACTTGTTTACAGACTCTTAACACATTACCAAGTCTCCACATCCTCCTCTGTTATATGTAGATATTATTAATTTCCTTAAGGGTTGGGTGAAATAGGTGTAAAAACTCAAAGTCCTTTTGAAATGTAAAATAATGGGGTCACCTTAAAACTGTTCTTGTGGAGACAACAATGTTACCACATTGAGACATTTTGAAAAGTAGTACTATCATTTGATCACTTATGGATGTGAGGCTCTTATTACCTTGCTAAAAATGCTTTGTACTCTGAGGGTATTGCCTGAGTTTTAGCTCAGAATTTGTGGAATGCCCACTATGCCAGATGCTGTTCCTAAAGCCGTGAGCAATATTGTGTAGGCCCTGCCCTTGCAGAGATGACAGTCTGTGGGTAAAACAACAAGACACTGATTTAAATTATTGAAGGGAGATAATAGTGATAACATAGGATCTCCTGGGTTTAGGGTTGATTGAGAAAACAACATATGTGCTTATTTGAAAGCCAGATAAATAAGAAATAATTTTTTAGCATAAGTATGCCCTAAATATTGCATGCTACGTATTTATAGGAAAAAAAACTATTCATTGTTTATCTGAAATCCAGAAATTGCATGAGACATGCTTTTACTGAGAGATTATTTTTTCATTTTCTGACATTCAAGTTTAATTGACATATAGCAGCCCTTCCTGAGTGCCAAAGAAACCTGTAGTAGGAGCAACTTGCTTGGCCTGGAAAAGCTTCCCAAAGCGAGTGGTGGTGGAAGAAGGAAGATGGGAAGAAGAGAGCAGTATTTGGGCCAGAGTATTCCAGGTACAGGAGCAGGGTATGGGAGGTCCTGGGAGCAGATTCCTGGGAAATTCTATATAGGGCCTATCTGATACAGAATACAGAGTCAAGGAGAAGCAAAGAATTAGGGAGATAATAGCTAATACTATATAATAATATAATAATTATTATATAAAATTTATGTGCCAGGTTCTGTGTTATGCTATTTGTGTAATTGATTCAGTCTTCACAACAGCTCCAGGAGATAGCATCTACTATTATCCCCTTTTATAGATGAGAAAACTGAGGCATAGAGAGATAATTTGCTCAAGGTCACACAGCTAGAAAATAGAACTGGGATTCAAAGTTAGCCTCGCTCATGATGCTATACTGATTCAGCAGCAAAGTCAGGCAGTGCCCTTATAGGCCATGTTAAATATTTTGACTTTATTTGAATCTATTCAAGAAGCCTGACAAAAGGAGAGAGATGATAAGTCTTTTGTTTAAAAGATTACTCTGTCTTGAGGAAAACTGATTTGGAGGGCAAGGTGGAAGCCCAGTTAGATACAGCAATTCAGGCAAGAGATGATGATGGGTAAGGAGGATGGAGAAAAGGGATTAGATTCTAAGGATAGTTAGGAAACAGACAAAAAGGAAGGCTCAGTGTTAATGTTAGGAGAAACCAGGGAGGACTGTGAGTCTGACTTATGCACCTGGGCAAGTGAGTGAATGGTGATTAAAATAGTGAAGCCTCTATAGTTCTGGTTAAAGTCAAAGAGAAAATTGAGTGTTCCATTAGGTACCTTTTTAAAACAAAAACTCAACCAGGATTCAAGAATTAAAGGACACCTATTTAAATAATGAATATGCATGTATAAGTGGTTACCTTTTATTCACAGTTGTTACTTATTTAAAATAATATCTCTAAGATTTTTATTGAATTGGTTCACTAAAATATTTGTACATTCAATATACATTTATAGAGAGAGCTCAACTGTAATTTATAGAATCACCAAAAAAAAAAAAAAATAGTCGAGCACTGTGGCACATGTTTAGAATCCCAGCAACTCTCTGGGCTGAGGCAGGAAGACCACAAGTTCAAGGCCCACCTTTGCAACTTAGTGAGGCCCTGTCTCAAAATAAAAAATGAAAAGAACTGGGGATGTAACTCAGTGGTAAAGTGCTCCTGGCTTCAATTTGCAGACCAACAACAACAATAACAACAAAACAGAATTCGGCAAAAGTAAACCTTGAAAGGAGTTTTTCTGACTTAGCATCCCAGTGATAAAGAATCTGTAATTTTATTTCAGGGAATGGTTTTTATGTCTTTTTTTAAACTCTGAGTGTTGAATAAAACTTTATTTCCAGCTGACTTAACTTGGATATAAGTCCCCTCTTACAGTTAGTTGCCTTTAAAGCTGAGTGCTAGATTTTATATCTAGAACTCCAATCCACTGCTTCCAAAAAGAGCTCCCCTGGGTCATTTGTCTAAACCCCTGGGGGTTTTTGTAGCTTTCTTCTACAAACAGAATAGAAAAGCAAAGACTGTCAGCCATCTCCCTATTTCAGGGCTAGCATGACATCTGTACCTCTTTCCCTCTATTCTCTGTTTTATAGCTTTTGCTCATTGCTAAAAGCATTGTTTACTTTTACTCATTCATTCACTTATTCTATTTTATTTTATTATTTTATTCTATTTTATTTTATTATTATAAAAACTTATATTTGAGTGAGAGAAGATATAATAATAAAAAAATTTTAAATTAATTATTAAATAAATAACATAT